AATATACAACATAAGATTAAATAAAATGGAAGTAAATAGTCTTATTTCACTAGTATATGATCATAATCTAGAGATTCTTGTCTAGTGTATAAACTAAGGAATTCTGTGGTGCTCACACCAGGCATTCATAAATTGACATTAATAAGTCACGTAAGTTTTCTTTATTTAAATGCCGCATGCTCGTTTGCAGTCTTCTATAAAAAAAAGTTGGTAGTTCTGTTTCATCGTTAGTATTTATAGTTTAGTAGAGGCAAGCGAAGTGATGAGCTTGAGGAATGAATAGTCGCTGTGCAGTTCAGTAGCGGCCACCTACGCAACTGCGGACGGCTTAGTCTTTACAATATAATAAACACATTATCAATGGTAAGCAGGTTGTCGTTTGCGCACAAAAATAAATTCGCTAGTACATTATCTCGTAGCCAGACGACGCGCGGTCATTAACCCCGTGTACCGCGATGTTCAAGGTCGCTAGTGAGCTGGTCACGGCAAGTCACCCACGCGCGTTTTTAACGTCCGCGTTCTAAGATACCGAGTTTCGTTCGTTCTGAAGGAGCAAGCGTTCGCTTGGCGTTGGTCAGTTATCGTACGTTTGTTCGCAACTTTGTGTCGCTCGAAGAATTTACATGAAGTTTCGACTTTCGAATATACTATGGTGGTAATCTTTGGGAACCATCTTCTACAATTTTCGGGAGTAAATGCATTACATCATACGTGGTAGTCACACGTTGCAGCTATAGGTATTATGGTTGTAGATGTCTATGGGCCACAGCATCCACTTATCATCAGGTGGACTATGTGCTCGTTTGTCACTCTATGCTATAAAAAAAACTACAATTTTCGGGAGTATGCATTGCAGATCAACAGATGTTAGAGACTAGAACGACTCAGTCGGACGGTCCGCAATACTCGCGAAGCAACAGAATCGCAATAGGCTGTGCTGGCGAGGGGAGTGAGAACATGTGCGCGGGGGTTGCGGGGGGAGAGGCGATGCGCGACCCAGTTGCACGGCCGTGGTGCGCTCTGCTACCATTGACCCAGATCCCTGCGCGGCGGAGGCCTGTCGCCTGCCTGACCTACAAACCAACCTCTCATTTGCCTAATATCGACTTGGCGCAAACTGCCTATACACTTTTACTGATTTTGCTGTTCGCCCTATTATGATAAAGTTTTTTTTAATACACTAGGAATTTCTCCTACATCGTGGAGGCAGTTTACATATATAAATTCCCTAAGGACAAACATCCAGACCCGGAACAAGTAATTGTTGTGCAGGATTCGAACCCGCAGCCCTCAACGTCGTAACTCATTGCTAAGCCGCTGCGCCACGGCGCCGTCTTACATTGTCATGACATAGACGAATTTCATGGAAAGAAAAACTAACTTTAAGATGCACTCCCTCAGCAATATATTGAAGGGAACCTTTTTTTAATCAAATTCAAAAAAAGGAGGTTCGCAATTCATCCGATTTTTTTATGTATATTCACGATTACTCAAAGACGCCTGAACCGATTTGGAAAATTCTTTTTTGTTTCAAAGTGTCTACTTGCCAGGTGGTCCCATTTAAATTTTATTGAAATCGGGTCGAGCACTTTTTAAAAAATCAACAATAAATTATTTTTTATATTGAAGTCAGTTGTACAAAATGTTTAATTTCATCACTTGTTTAAATGATAATTCTTTTGTTAATGCTGTTATCACATCTGACTTCTTTAGATTAAAAAAAATAGTTGATTGTTCCTGTGGTATTTTAATAAAAATCATTTATGTAAGATGAATTAGTTAACTACATAATGATGTTCCATATCTAAATTACTTATCAATAAAAATTATTGTAATGAGAAATTTTAATTTACCTAGATTCATTTCTTTTGTGATGTAAAAAAATAAAATTTCCTTTGTCGAACATCAATTTTTACATCTGCTATTGCCTTAAAGATGTTAAAAATTAATTAGCTAAGGTACGTATAATAAAATATAATGACATGTTTCACCTAGGTTGAAGATTAATCTCCCTCAATTACGCATACTATCCCATTACCAGTAATCCCAACACCACTGTTGATAATATGACATGATCCGCTAAATGAGGTTATGTGGTAATGCTTAGGTCTTACCAACACAGTCTATTTCTTTGGGATGTGCTCTTCAAAATATGTAAAACACATAATTTTATTTTATTATGTGCATCTTTACTGATTAATTTGTAGCATGTTTAATATAATGAATTTCCATAAAATAATGCCTGATTTCATTAATTACCTGCTACAATAGCAATGACTACATGGAATGACTAGAGAAAAAACAACAATATTTAATAATATGCTGCAGATATTCTCTTTTTATAATTTTTGTCACCTGTGAAAGAGCCTTGTTATCTCAGGCTAAGAGCTCACTGTAAACTTCACAGTATGCAAGCAAGCCAGGTTCAATCTCCAACAGCACCAATGCAATTGTTAATTACTATATTAAGTGCTGATTTACCACATACTCAGCAGTGAAGGAAAACACTGTGAGGAAACCTATATATCTTACAAATTTAAAAAATAATTTCCAAGACATCTGATGTCCGCAACACGTATTGAGGCACACTCAGAAATGAGAGGAGGCATATGCCCAGGGGTGGGATGTATATATAGAATGTAACTTCACTTTTACTTTTAGAGGTAAATGAAATAAGTCCTGGTCTGCAGCATCTTCCTGATAACAACCGAAAACAAAAGGCTGTAGTTACAACCCACCTGCCACAGCAAATTCTACATGGTAGGACTCCTTTACAACTGTCAAGCAACAGTGCATGTGCTGCATTCCAGTCTGCAGGATATGATTACAGGCTGTGAAGAATTCCATCTTAGTCCTGTGGCAACACATCTGTAGCCTTCTTAGTTTGAAGTTGGTTGTGTTGTGTTTGTTGGTTTGAAGTAAGCTATAAATAACCACTTACTATCAGGAGATTGGAAGTTACTTTTTCTACTGACTTCAAAAAAAAAGGGGGGTGAGCTGATTTGGATGATTCTTTTTTTTATTTGAAAGCTGGTGCTTCTCATGTGGTCCCATATAAATTTGGCCAAGATCTGACGAATAGTTTTTAAGTTATTCTTAATAATTTATATTGAAGTCGGTTGTACAAAATTTTAAATTATTCACTTAAATTTTATAAAAAAAAACCCTATGAGGCAATCCAAAATGAAGGCCTACTTTTGGTGGAATTTTAATAGATGGATAAAAAAATAATCACATATGATACTCACACATAATAAGTTTGAATCTCATTTTTTTCATTGGTAGAAAATAAACAGATAAAATTTCATAGGTAATAAGTTTGAATCTCATTTTTTTCATGGGTATGATGCTAGATGCCTAAGCATACACTTCTACCAGGAGCAAGAAGAGGTTATGTCACTGGCTTAAAAGCCCATGGTGTTCCCCTCTTGCAGCATATAGATAGATTAAAATAATCTTATCATACTTATTTTATAAGATATTAAAAGGAAATAGAAGAGAAATTAAATACAGATACAATGTGCACAGAATTTACAATTTTTAAATTTGAAACTATATATTTATTTTATACTACCTGTTCCCCGTAACTACGCCCAAGTGTAATTTAGGGTTTTAATTATGTTGCATGGAACTCTAATTCTTTTTCCAAAATATAAGTAGCCTAAGTTACTCCTTATAACATCAGCTATCTGTCAGTGAAAGTCCCGTCGAAATCGGTCCAACCATTTCAGAGATTAGCCGGAACAGACAAAAATTTCAAAAATTATGTTTTTGTTATAAGTACCATATATACTTTCATATGCATTTAGTAAAAAGCTGGTATTTTGACATGACAAACAGACACCTCAATTTTATTTATTTGTATAGATACTATTGATAAGATATTCTTTACCTCCTATATTGCTTTTTTATATATTATAGTTAATATATTTGTTTATATATAAAACTGTCAAACTTTTATCAATTCCTCTTTGTATTGAAAATTTTAAATAAAAATGAGTGTAACATAACCAGTAAGAGTGTAGGCACACACTCACTATCACACTATCAGCGTGAAACAGAGAAAAACTGTTGTTTATAAATATTGCACCTTTTGCTGATAACTTATTCACACTACTAAGAACTTAGACCAAGGAAATGTATAATATAATAATAGTACTGCTGAATTCAAATAATAAAATTTTCTGGTAGCTAATGATATTAAAAGTATTCACACAGACTACTGGAAAAATATTTGTTGCTTACAACTTTATATACAATGTCCAACTATATATGATTTAGTTTTTTTGTTATTGCACAGCTATATTCAGTTCATAATACTAAATTAATATCTCAATAGGCTGCCTTTTTTTGCAGGCATAACTGACATGTTCTCAAGACAAAGAACAATGTTATTGTTAACAAAAAAAAATATGAAAGGCATTATTGGAATACCATAGAAACAAGCATTTGTTGCATTAATTTATTAAATTATTGTATTGCAAGAGTTAAAACTGCAATTTAAGGATATTACTTACATTTTTTGACATTTATAACCTCGATATTGGTTTCCTTGTTCACAGTAAGATACATACATGTACATGAGCCCAGGTAAAATGTTTTTTACATGCTGAAATTGGGTGAGGGAAAAACTAAAGAAAAAAAAGAGGTGGTTGCGTTAAAGGATCCGTTGGATGTAATAGTTTCCTCAGCTTCGATGTTCGAGGTTAGAATACTGTCGATTTACACTTGCGTGACAGTCAAGTTAATAAATTAGTTTTTGTGTTTGTTCATACTTTCGATATTGAGCGCCTAAGGACACACCAGATGAATATAGATTCTAGAATAACAGGAACTTGTAAAATGGCTCACAAAGGTGACGCATCGACACGATCCGATCGAATGATCTTAGCGTATTCTAACAGATCTCTAAAGATGCTATCTCAAATTTTAAAGATTAACATATTCCATCGATCATTGCAAGCACTTAAACACTAATATATGTAAAATTCACAACTTACGAGGCGATGAAAGTAAATTGTAGAAAGCACACGCACCGCAACGCGACAAGCGAGCACTTTTGCACGCACACAACTGCTCGAAAATAAAATGTGTATAATGTATAACTATACATGCATGCACACCTGACACTCACACTGTGACATCTGTCGCTGTCGTACTCGTAAGTCGTAACCGACCGTGACAATTCGCAGAAGGATGGTGCTCTATGCCAGATATAGATAATAATCATATATATTTCTCTACTCTATGATAATAATGTTATTATTTTCTAAAAGAGGTTTTGGCGGGTACTGGACCGGCGACGGATTGCTGCTCATGTATTAATGTTTAAATAATGGTTTGAAGTGGATTTTGATACGTAAAATTGGTGCGATCTTGTTATTAAATATCTGCGCATGTGAACTATTAGTGGAAACAGTAAAAAAAGTGTTCTGATGGTGATGTGATACTCAAGATAAGGTGTCTGTCTGCTTAGGCGCCTTTCGATACCATCGTCAACTATCGACTATCTGCTGGCTCAAGTTGCCGTCAAAATCTCCCAAGGATAATTATTATACATTGTAACTTCAGGCTCAGAAGGGCTAGAACCCAGTGCCGTAAAGCCAGTTATTTAAAAAAGTACTAACTATTTATGGCCACAAACTAGTAAGGCTGGTTTTTCACTATGGGATATCTCTTCTACCTAGCGTTATCCCGGTTGCTCATCCCGCCCAGCGCGGGAGAACCCAGGGTCCGCTTTCCGACACTTCCTTCTCCACTTTGCCCGGTCTTCGGCGTCCCTCACAACTAGCCCATTGGCGCGCAAGTCATCCTGCACGACATCAAGCCAGCGTTTCTTGGGCCGTCCTCTACTCCTGGCACCAGGTAAGGTCATGTCCAGGCATTTGTTTCCCACGTAGCTTGCTGGTCGTCGTAAGACGTGGCCGTACCAGCGGAGGCGACTTTCCTGCAGCTTGTCAGCAATGTCACGGACATGGAGGCTGCCGCGGATGTATGTATTCCGTACACGGTCTTTCCGTGTGACACACATCCACCGCAGCATGTTCATCTCAGTGACATGCAACAACCGCCGGTGTCGCTCCAGCACCGGCCACGCCTCACTGCCGTACGTAAGGACAGGCCTTATGATGGTCTTATAGATATTCTATAGTTTTTCACTATGGGATATAATATATATTATATCCCGAAATATAAATTATATCCCACGATTGGCATTCACACTGTGAGATATATCTTTTAACCAGTGTGCGTTCGTCATTGGTCATTGGATTACCCCTTTTACCCCGTACACTGTTCTGCAGGGGCGCGGAACGGTGTGCGGGGTACAGAGGGCAAAATATAATATGAAAATATCGCTCGGTCGAACGAAAAAATATTTATAGCTTGAGATGTTCCATATGAAATGTATGGTAAGCGATATTAATTTATATCTCGAGATGTAATATATATTATATTATATCCCATAGTGAAAAGCAGTCTTAATAGAAGTACTAGATTTATCGCCATAGACTTAGAATAAACGCTGTCGTGAATGCACAGAATTCATATTTACACATCTATACAAATAAATAAAATTGAAGTATCTGTTTGTAATGTCAAAATAACAGCTTTTTACTAATTGCATATGAAAGTATATACGGTACTTATAACAAAAACACAATTTTTAAAATTTTGTCTGTCTTTTTGTTCCGGCTAATCTCCGAAACGGCTGGACCGATTTTGACGAGACTTTCACTGTTAGATAACTCATGTTACAAGAAGTGGCTTAGGCTACTTATATTTTAAAAAATAATTAGGGTTCCGCGCAACAAAACTAAAACCCTAAATTACAAGCGGGCGAAGTCGCGGGGAACAGCTAGTGGTTAATAAGGATATACCGATCCGTTAATTTCCTACTATAGGACTAGTTCTAGGCTATCACAGTAACAGTGAAATGCAAATGGGAGAGTAACTGCCTTCTTTCGTTAAGAAAAGCCTGTAAGAATGCTATTAGCGGTCGCCACCGTTATTTTATTCAACTTTGGAAGAAAGAGGATAAAGTCGTATGTCATCGGCAGACCTAATTCCATTTCAATGTGATGACATTTAATCACAACTGGATGTTCCAACGCTTTGCTATAGCTTAGCGGGTCAAGAGTTCAACCGCAAATGAAATAAAAAGTATTTCTATGTCTTACAAATAATTATTCTGCTATGGGTGTTTGTCTTAGTACAAAAAAGCCTGATACAACACTACACTGATGCAGAAAAATGATAAGTTTTCACCTGGGTAGCTTGACCGCCGATGGATACATAATATTAATGATACGTTGTAAACCGATAACATAACATGGACGATAGCACTGGTTATGCTTTATACACTGGCCGTGGCCCAATATTTTTAGGGAAAACTTCGCCGAGAAAAACAAAGGGGTTCCCTTTGTCGTTTCACCTCAGTTTCAGGGCACTTCCCTTGTTGCCTCAGCCAGTATCTGAATCCGCATGACGTTCAGTTTCGTGGTCACTTGGAAGAGAAGGCCAAATTGGCCCCTAAAAAGCTTGACATGCTTAGCAGAGCGGGACAGTATTTCACGCCGGCACACCGCAACGCCTGCAACTTTACAAGGCGCAGGTTCGGCCTCACGTGGAATCTCTGAGCTGGGGCTCCCCAGTGCCAGCTCTTTCCATTTGATCGCATCCAGCGCAGAGCAGTTCGAATCGTCGACGACCGAGCTCTTGCTGGTCGGCTTGATTCACAGCCATTGCGAAGAGATGTTGCATCTCTTTTCGTATTTTATCGCATATAACACGGGGAGTGTTCTGAGGAATAGTCCGGACTAATTCCAGCCACTCAATTTCAACATTGCACATCGCGACAAAACTCGCGATACCATCCATATCATCTGGATGATTGGCAGTCCACCAGTGTGCGATTTTCAAGAGATTTTCTTCCTCGCACAACTTTCGTGTGGAATCATCACCACCAGCGATTTTTCCGGAGCGATAAAACTGAGTAACCTTCAAAAAACGAGTCTACTATTTTTAAAAGGCCGGTAATACACTTGCGATGCCCTTGGTGTTTATGTTCTTTGGTCATAGCCAGGTAATCTCTGCAGTTCAGGCAACAAATACTCATCTAACATCCTCACATATCGCTCTGAATTACAGTAAGTGAAAGGGGGCGTTTCATCTTCAAAAAAGTGAGAGCGATAATTCCTCACTATGACATTGCAGCCCATAAGGTCACCTTTGGCGAATGAAGGGGTTTCTGATGCTTGCGTTTCGGATTGGTTGCACTCCAGTAGCGGCAGTTCTGCTTTTTATTACGGGTATCTATTAGAAAAACTAAAATAGCGCAAGGACGGTAATTTTAAGGACATTCGAACAAAATCAGTGGTAGAGCCACGCGGCAGCTTATGCTGTCGCATGGATGGGCCGGCTCGAACCGGGGTGGTACCACGACCTCACAGAAAACCAGCGTGAAGTAGAGGTTTACCTCTGCGTTTCGCTTGGTGAGTGCAGGTGACCGGAGGCCCTTTTTACTGGAAATGAGGCATTCCATCTTAATCCTCACGGGTGACAACGCATCTACATTTTGATTTGTAATAGAGGATAGATGTAGATGTCTATGGGCCGCAGCAACCACTTACCATCAGGTGGACTGTGTGCTCGTTTGTCATCCTTATCGTATAAAAAAAATCAAATGTCCTTTCAATACCAAAACACACAACGGCAGCATTCCGCGGTAGTTTCCGATATACAGCTGCTAAATGCTGGAACAACTTGCCCCGACCTATCCGCCAACTAAATACCATCAGCCTTTTCAAGGTAAAAGTAAAAGAATATTTTTGTCACTTTAACATTTAGGGCGGATAAAATAGCTGCATTATATTTTCATAGTATTATATAAATATCTATATTGTTTTATTGTATATACTCATTATATTATTTATTATATACATTTATATATACCTACTGCATAAATAAAGTTCCCATCCTTTTTCATTACCATTATTTTATTTTATTATTTTGATAACATCTTTCTCGAAAATAGAAATAAAGCGAACATACTATCCTCGCGGGCGAGTCCAACCTCAATGGGCATTGCTGAAAACCAACGCTACCGCAATCCTGCGATAGCATTATGTTGAGTCAGTGCTTTTTTCAGCATCACATCACTCATGTAATCGGATCATTTTATGACTGTTTTTTGTTATTTACTTTTATCTTTGATGTTTTTATGTATTATTTTATTTTCTGTATCAAAACTGTATGAGTGTAAGTTGCTGAATAAATGCATGTCTATGTCTATGTCTATTAAGGTGAAAATGAGCTCCATCCGAAAACAAGACGTTAAAATAAGAAGGTCAGTTGCTGAAAGAAGAAAGATAGTGATCAGTTACCATTCTTTTAAAAGCTGCAACAGAAGTCGGTTTCCTGATATGAGGAGGTAATTTATTCCATAGCCTTTTGCCTCAGCAGTGAAAGACTGAGACATAAATTTAGTACGGCGAGGATAACACATAAAGTAGTTCCCTCGGAGGATCGCAGATTACGATGGTGGGAAGAACTCAAATACTGAAACTTGCATTTCAGGTATTGGGGAGTGCATGGATCATATAGGATTGAAAATAGCGTGCGATGAATTCTGATGCATCTACGCTGATGGATAGGGAGCCATTTAAGCTTAGAACGATATAAGGATACATGATCGTATTTACGAAAGTCAAAAATAAAACGGATGCAATTATTTAACAAACGATCCTATTTGCACAGAAGTGCTTGACTCACATCAGGGTAACACACATCAGTATAATCAATGACGGGTAAAACAAGTGTTCCCACCAACATAGCCTTAGTCTCGGTTGGAAGGAAATTGTTGAAACGATAAAGGCCAAGCATGGTGATTGTCACTTTCCGGCTTATTTCAGCTACCTGAGATTGCTAAGTTAAATTAGAATCAATCATTAACCCAAGATCTTTAACTACATGTCTAAGAGGAATATTTGTGCTATTGTAAACAATAGGCTCCAGTGAATTGAAATCTAATTTAAGTAGACGCCGAGGGCTACCGAGAATTAAGGCTTGACATTTAGCAGGATTGACAGCAATTCCATAACTTGTACACTAGTT